AGCGTTGCAAAATAAAAATATTTTTCATCTTTTTTATACAATCTAATCCGTATACGTAAGATAATAAAGAGCAGCCACAGTCCATGTATGTGTGTTAAGTTAGCTGTAAAAGTCAAGTGCTTATTACTAAGAAGGTGCTTTCTATAATGTTAATTCCGCAAGTGGTTACGCTTCTAATTGCTGGCTCAATTCGCGTGTTAATACACTCACTGTCCTATAAAGTCAGTTAAGTTTGCTGTTATTAATATATGTTAGTGTTCTTCCTCTGTCATGTTTTGTCACATAGCCTACCATGTGACATTAATGCCCTACCGTGAGTTGATCAACCATGCCCCTTAAATAGACTAATCAACGTCGATATAATCCTACTAAATTTTCATGAAGAATATTAAATTTGTGTTTGCAAACAGTGTCACATGCTTAAACACCGTTGTAAAGTTCAGTATTTCAATAAAAAATGGTACCGTTACTTATGAAATAAAGTAAATTTTGCTACTTTATTGCTAATTTTAAATATGATAGAGGAAAACATTTAACATCGTTCATATTAACAATATATCATGTAGTTTTGTTTAGAATATAAACATGAATTTAAAATTTAATTTTAACTTTTTAAAGTCTCCTAAGTATAAGTATATAATTGTAACGCTAAAGTCAATGAAATACTAGCGTCTTTGGATATTCAAAATCGCGAATATTTTTATAATAATATATGTATACAGAACACTAGAACAATTTAACCAGATAGATTCGCGATATTGATTGTCGAACGTGAATAATGAAATAATTAACTTTTGTATGTTATAAAACAAGTCTCCCGACGACTAGTCAAGCCCCTTATGAAACCAACACTTACCGCGGATATTGTCTCTGTATGAGATTAGTATTATAATATAAATTAAAATAGTATTATTATTATCTATGATTATTATTTTCTAATTTAAGTAAGATGGCGTAATGTTAGATGTTCTATTTTTAAGATCATGACAAAGATGTTTTTTTTTAATATTGTGTACGGAAAATGCTTTGTTTTTAACACGGGGTTTTCACATTTTGTGTTTTTAGCTTGATTTTTAATTTTAGTTGTTAATTTTCATTGATTTTTTGCCCGTTTTTTGAGAGAACTTTTACCACCTTTTCGACCTGTAGTGATTTTTGTCATTGAAGGTATTAATGTACTTATGTTAATGGGAATATAGTCGAAATAAACTGTTAAATGTTTGACGTTGAATTGTTTTATGACGCTTCTATCGCTTTATAATAATGCTGTTAGTCTCAGAGTTATGCATACCTAGATGTCATGGCGGCGACGTCAGCATCGCTTCTGTGGCTACCATTGGCTCCGTGAGGTGACAAATCTAGCAGACGAGATTAATATAACGATTGGCGGCTAAATAAGTTAGCATATGATTGGTACGCATGTAGTTAGCGTCTCGATCTCCACTGTTTGGGTCTCGCAATTTAATTAAGTCTTATTTGACGGCAAAGAAGTCGTTAAGTGATTTGCGATACAATTTGACATGTTTTAATTGGCGACGCTGCAATGGCATCCTAATGAGATATAACCCTAAAGGCATTTGGAAAGAATGCACCGTGGAGTATATAGAATAAATTTTACAATATTTGGATTTGCATTTTATAAAAGTCATAATGTGTTTGGTATGAAATATGATGTATTAGACCAAGATGTTGATCACAATGTGGACAGTTATTTCTCAGTCTTTGTGTAGTTTTTCATGTATTCATATCTAGGATTTCCTTTACTGTATTGGAATGTCAATTAACACTCTTGGTCCGTTTGTTATCTGAACCACACTACTGTCGTTAACTTGACTTCTTATTATTATTGTTTTGTACTAATAATATATGCGTGCTATCTCAGCTCACAACGTTGACGCAAATTCATATTTTATGTAAATATGCTACTGTCTTTGGTTAAAAAACATGATTATCAAAATGGAAAATAGTAAAATAATTATGCGCACAATTATTTTGGCATACTGTTAAACTGTAAGTGTTAACTGGTGCTAATTATTTAGGCTGCTGTGCCAAATTGTAAGCAATCTTAAGCTGTGGAAATAAATGTAGTACTAAATTATGTCAAAGAAACATTTGATGAATTATGTCAAGAGTAGGTTAAGTGCCTTGTTGTGTTTAATACTCAGATCAAATATGCATATTACGAAAGTTGAGCGAAAAATAAATGTCTATTTTACTATTTTCATTGGTTGTATTATTTCCAATTGTCTAATACCCAGTTGCACAAACATCTATTTAAATGTTTTTCATAGAAATTAATAAAGTTCTTTTATAAACTTAACTTTAAGAAACAAAAACATTACTGGAACATTATAATTAACAAAAAAAGATTAGAAATATTAAACCACTCCTTAAACAATTTTTTTGGCATGGCCGAGATCAACTCTAAAAATAATAATTAATCAGTCTCATCCCCGGATTCTTCTGTGCTGCATCCGACGCAATAAACCTTCGAGTGTTGCTGACAAATAAATTTACAACACTTGAAACATTTTGTTGACACTTTTTTGTCGTCCTTTCTAGAAAACGCTGAACAGCGCCCGCGCTTAGCTATCGATTGTTGGACAGCCTCGTTCACATCATGAACTTCACGGAGCCGTTTCTTTGTTGTCGTTGGTACAGCACGTAGTTGTATGCGACGTTTTTGGTGATCTTCCACAAGAGCTGCTGCTAATTTCTTCAAAAAAATCCGTCTTGTATGTGTAATAGTCTTATCAGTATTCGCTTTGTGTATGACAAATGCGTTGATGCCAGATATGTTTACAAGATGAAAAAATACAGCCAGTGGCCATCTTTTTGTTCTTCTTCCAACATTATAATTGCTGCAAAGTTGATCATTACAATCGACACCACCTTTGGTATTATTATAATAGGTAATTATTTCTGGTTTCTGAGCACTGGCTGTTGTTTCATCATTAGCGTTATCATTGTGTATGGTGGAAAGTAAAACAACAGCTTTCTTTGGCTTAGGAACATATGAGACTATAGTCATTTGATTATGAAATCCGAAAAGTGAACTATATGTGTAGGTCTATTTTTGTTTGGCAAAAATTCAGATGGGATGTCAGGCTTCCTTTTATTCAATGTCCCAACAAGAGTCAATTTATATTCAGGCATTAGTAACTCCTTAGCCAGTTTTGTACTTGTGTACCAATTGTCAGTCGTTATGTTTCGACCGCTGCGTTTTATTGGCTCTACTAGGCGTTTTACAATCTCATCTGGAGAATTAGATATTTGATATTCTCCATCTGGTTGTTTTCCAGCGTACACTTCAAACTTGCACAAGTAATATGTTTTCGAGTCCACCATGGCTTGGACTTTTATTCCTTACTGGTTTGGTTTATTAGGCATATAAACCTTCCCTCTAAAGCGACCACGAAATCCAACCAACTGTTTATCAATAGTTACGTTCTCGCCGGGGCTATAAGAAGCTAAAAACTTACTCTCTATAATTTGACATAAAGATCTTATTGCTGCCATATTATCAGTTTTTAGTCGTTCTTCTCGGTCTGACGTATTATCAAACCGCAGACATCTCAACAAAAATAGAAAACGTTTATAAGACATTGTTAGCCGAAACATTTCTACGCCTGTTACATCTTGTGCCCATAAGTCAATATAATTCAAGTGCGACCCTTTTAGGACTCTAGCCATTATCAATAAGCCCAAAAATGCATTTCAAAACAAATTTCCGTATCATCGGTAGGAAGTGCACCACGATCTCTTCCGAAGTTTTCTTTTATTTTATCAATATATAAATTAGTATTTGTGACCAAAAGTTCAATAACTTCACTGTCAAAGAACAACTGAAAGCATTCAAGAAGAGATTTGGCGTTTCTTGCATACTCTTTGATTCCCGGTAAATGCAAAATAATATTGTGTGCTCGGGTCCTTACTGCATTCGATGGTGGTACTTTACACCATTTCACTTTCGGGCCATTTCTCTGAGTATGTCGGGATAAAAAGTAATTACCTTCCGATGGTTCAGGGATGTTTTGGATATCTTCGGACTCTTCAATTTCGCTTTCTGAATTATGAGCACTATCAATTGCGGTTTCGATATCGTTTACGGTTTCGTCTTCCGAATCTGAACCAGCAACATCTTGCTCTTCATCAGACACTTCATGCAGCCATTGCAATATTTGTGTGTCGTTAGGCATTTCAAATGAATAAAAAACTGAAATAAAGGAAAAAAAAATATTAAAAAAACTCAAAAATACATAAAGCAATCATACCTACACGTACACAAATAAAAATACACACATACAAAGAAAATACTAATATAAACTAAAAGAAAACGCAAAAGTATAAACTTACCTCCGCCAAAAAATGAAACGCAATTGGTCGCATGGGGTCAGCGCTCTAGACAGCAGCGATACGTGCGCACGTGGGGAGCGAGGAAGCTAGAAAGAGCGTGAACGCGCTCTGCGTACTATAAACTTTTTTTTTTCAATTTTAAATGTGACCCATGCGCCTAATTAAGGGTTAAAGCGACACTACAAAAATATTTTATTTAGGACATTCAGTGATGCTTATAATCGTAAGTTTATATAGTCATACGAAAGAAGTACAGAGAGAAATTGTGATTATCACGCGGGCCAAACAAGAAGGAGCTACAGATAACGATTATTTTGGTCATCAACCGGTATTTATGACTCGCTTACCTTTCGCGTCCATGCCTTCAGCAATAAAAGATCTAAAGCGCTACCACTGTTCCTCCTTTTCATGTCGCATTTGCTAGATCTTATAACTCTACTTAAGGAAAGCCTCTTGTTGAATGAAAATACAAGATTATATTTCAATTACCTCGACCGGTAGGAAACCTCGATACTAGCGTGCAATCACACGATCACTGTGTATTCGACTATATTTACTTATCTTTACATTTGTGTAGTGTTTTTCAGACGGTACTTCAATATATTCAAAGTTTTAGGGTAGAGCGAGAGAAAAAAAACAAAAGTTGTGTAAAAATATCTATTTATCGACGTCAAAAGCATCATCGAACTGCTCCTGCGTAATCTTCCTCTTCTTAAGTCTCTTGATGAGCGCTACGTCGGCGGCTAACTCGTCCAGCTCTGCTTGTGTGACGGCGCGCCGTTTCTTGCTTCTCTTTCCTTCTGGATTCTGCTGTTTCAGTTCTTTCCGTTTCTTTTTTCGCTGCTTCCTCTCTTCTTTGTTCATCTTCGCTTTTTCCCAAGGCTGCGTTTGCGCCTGGAAAATTACATTGGTTTTTACATTATCAGACATACTACACGCATAGGCAACATATTAGGTTACTATTAAATGACAAGTTTCTGCGATTTTGAACTCGTAATTAAGCTCTAAAATCAATTTGAGAAATTGACAGATTTTTATAACTTGACATATCGAACGTAACAAAACAACGTTTCGATAGGAGATAAACAGCACACAGTCATGTTTAGGTCTGTTAAATTTTAGATTTATTTGCCCTGCTGTTATATTTATCTGCCATTTTCACATACCATTTTCTTCTTCTTGTTGGATGGCCACACACCAGTTTTCTTATATTCTTCTAGCTTCTTCAACCTGCTAGCTTCCTTCTGTTTATCCTTATAACATATACTGTTGAAATCAATATCTATCTTCGGTCCAACAAACTGTTCCTTGTGCTCCTGTTTTATTTCAGGCATCAGAGGCAGTTTAATTAGACCATAGCTAGTGGCTATGTGGCCTAGAGGCAAGTCTTTGAACTGGAGCAGCAAGTTGCATTCATGTTTAGTATAAGCACGCATGTGAGACACAAATGCTCTCTGACCTTTGTCAAATACGGAACGATCTTTTAATTGTTGTTCGTGCATTATTGACAAAACCTGAAATTAGAAAAATTATAATGTAAACAAAAACACCATTAAAATGTCAAGGGGTTCAAACCCGATCTTTTTCTTATTTACATGGTAAATATTAAATCAGTGCACAGGTTTTTTCTATAAATTAGTATTGATATAAAATCCTATTAATATTATAAATATGAGTTTCTTTGTTTGGATGTTTAGATGTTTGGATGTTTTTCCGTCAATCACGCCGAAACTACTGAAAGGATTTGATGAAATTTGGTATACAGATAGGGAATTAGCTGACTTAGATTATAGGATTTTACTTTTTATCCCACTAAACATTTCCCTAGAGTCCACGCGGGCGAAGCCGTTGGCGAAGGTATTTTATAAACTAATAAAAATAGTTCTTTAAGTTTATATATAAATATTAAAGGCCTCGCAGGAACTTTCGTTTTATTGTGGTGTTGCTATTTTCCTTTTATGATTAGGCATTTCATTATATCAACGAAAAAATATTTTCTACATGAAACATCGGTATTTTGGTAATTCATTTAAATCGTAATCTATTATGGTAATTAATTAGGTAGATGACTTAACTAAACTTTTTGATGGGACTTTATTAGCTAATGATAATTTTAGTCAGTTTTAGATGGCACAGAATAACGGAAAATTTAATAAATATTTTATTACGTGATATGAGTTTTTTTACTTCTTAGGTCTACATACATTTTAATGCACTATTTTACTGTTTACAAAATATAATTACGTATTAGTTTAAACAGATTACATAAACTAATTACAAGCAGATTTCTATGTGGCATTTTAAATGACAGACATTTCAAACACTACGTTTTAAATTAAAACAGTGCACTTGTCACATTTCGTATTATATCAAATGAGTGAAAGAAAACATATAAATATTTGGTTGCATCAGTATAGAGTGATGTTAATAAATATAAATTATCACCTTATCTCTTAACTTTTGCGTGACTTTAATCTGGTCTGTGGATTGCGTCCAATCTTTGAGTTGCACAAGCTGGTTGGCCTTGATGAAGGGCACGTACGCATCCTCTGTAGTGAGGAGTGGCAGCAGTGAGCAGCCGGCCGCCCCCCCGCGCGCCGCCCGCCCTGCGCGGTGCACCAACCCCGCCGGGGACAGCGGCGGCTCCCACTGAACCACCCAGTCAACGCACGGTATATCCAAACCCCTGGAAACCAAGAGGAATACAAAATACAGAGTCTTGAAAGAAATCGATTTTGCTAAGCATTCTTTAATAAGACTATTTAGGTGTTCGAGCCTAGTGGCTTGATCCACCTTGAGATTACACCTCTGCATTCTGACGTCATTCGATGTGAAGTTAGCTGCATTTTATCGTCAGTGGTGCCGTCTGTCCAGCGCTAACTTCACTTTGGTCTGGTTTGGCATTCAGCGCGGGCGGTCTACTTTTACTTACTTACTTACGCTTTTGTATTCCGACTTGAAAGGACGTGACGAAGAAAAATTATTACACTCCGTGATTATTGAATAAACATCAATATTGCAATATCGAGTAAGTAAATACATCAGTGAGATAAATTCACTTATCGAACTTTTATCTTTCCGTTACACATACAACAGCAGTGCGCCCTAGTGCCACGTGCGTGGGTAGTTTTTTCACTCTACCCTCCAGTACTGTGCGTCATCATACCACAGTTAAGCATCGTACCAAGTTACTTTGCTTATTACGTATCGATTCCCAACCGATAGATTGTTGACGAACACGACGCATGTCGTATGGTTAAGAGACACGGTGGGGCCATCGTTGATACGACGCATCAATGATGCGTCGCATAAACTGATACGACGCATCAATGATGCGTCGCATAAACTGATACGACACGGGACCTGATATGACCGGTACCTAATACGACGTATCACATTAATGTGACGCATCACTTTGTTGCGACGCTGATACGACGTATCAACTCAATACGGTGTATCAGCTCAATACGACGTATCAACTCACTACTACGTAACAACTCAATACGCATCGTCGCGCAAAACATTCGTTTATTATTACTCACAGCCAACTACCTTGGTTTCAGAATCATGAACGTAACGGCCTCATCGTCTACTACGATAACTATGGGTGAACTGTCACTCTACCTCCCAGAGGGTGACGAAAGAGCATGCACAGCTGTAGTGGAACTAGTCAGAAAACATTACCCTCCTGACTGGGAAAAATGGGAAGTTAACAACTTATCGCTCGAAAAACTATTCGGAAGCATATCCATATCTCCTGAAACGGAGAAGAAAATAAGATTCGCCTTGCCTACAATTGAACTACTAGAAGCCTTGCAACCGGATGCACCGCGAGCATCGGAAAGAAGCTTTAGAGATACGAAAAGACGACTACTGAGCTGGTCGTTTGGCCGTTGCTTGTTATATGCTCCATATAACATAATGTCAAAAATACACACCAAATCGCACAATGCCTTTATGGACGTAGTAGCCAGATTAAAGCCGCAAATACTATCAAGACAGGCCGCTTCCGATCTCATTAAATCAAGGACCATGACCGAATCCCTTTCTTCTCCGGTATCATCATGCCCCGTTCAGTCGAAAAGACCCAGCGCGACACCTAGAGAAGAACCCCCAAAAAGAGCGCGGCGAAACTCACCCCCTAGCTTAGACAATCCGATTAAAGGTGAGGAACTTCTATCGCTACTATTAGAGCAACAAAAACGTCACAATGAAATGTTTAAAGAGATGTTTGACATGAGTAAAAGACAGGAGGAGCATATGATGCAAATTGAGGAAAAATTGGAATCCCAAGCAGTAGCACTTACTGAAGAACTGAACAGGTCATTTGCTGACAGCACACAAGATGACGATTCTGGAGGTCAAGATGAAGAAATGGATGATATAAGACCAAACGTTTGGGCACCTACGAATTCTGAGATAAAAATCGTTAGCAATCCTGATGAATCCGACACAGAGGAAAACGTCAGGTATCAGATCGCAGAAGCACAACGCAAGCTTGTCGAGATCCAGCAACAGGATCGAACAGGATCCAAGAGTGCAGAAGCTATTATTGACTTCGCCCCCTACGTTGTTGAATCCCAAGTAAAAATAGCGAAGGCTGATCCAGAGCTGGCGAAGTTAGGAGTGCAATGCCAGCGACTTGGCGAAGATACTTGGAAAAATATCCGCTACGCGGATGTACAAAAACAATTCCAAGCTACGCCGGTATTTACAGCGCTAAAAGTTTATAGTCATTTAGCCCTAGCTACACCCTTTTGGCACAGCGTGTCCTTGCTAGAGAAGTTTGATAGCACCCTTGCTGCAATTTGCCATGGACTCTTACAACAAAGGAAAATATTCCAAGATTGTTGTCAAAGCTTAAATCCTGACATCAGAGAACAAATCAACAAAGAACTACTAGATCCAGAATCAAAATTTAGGAAAGTCTCAGATGCCGTACTTCAATATACTTGTGGGAAACGCTCAGAAATAATAAATCAAAGAAGACAGCTTTATAAGGCACCAAACAAAGCCATGAATGAAGTGCTGCACGATATCCCACCTTCAGAGACGCATTTATTCTCTGAAAAAACTTTAACCGAAGTAGTTAAGGAACAAGGTGGTGTTCATAAAATATTTCCAAACAAAAACAAAAAGCAGTTTAAACCTAAACAACTCCCACAAACGAGATATACCCAGCCGAGCAACAAGAAAAATCTACCCTACAGAGAAACCTTTCGCAAGCCCAACAAAAGAGAAGATACCAGTAGAAGAACTTCCAAACCACAGTTTTCTACTTCAAACAATACTAAACGATCTGGAAAACAGCAAGGTAGAAAATTCTGACTCGTTTCAGGCAGGTCAGTTGTCCAAAAATGTCATAAAGTGGAGAGACCTTGGTGCTCCGCCAACCATCTTATCAATACTCCAGGGATACAGAATACCCTTTACCAAAAAGCCGCCACTAACCGACCTAAGAATAAATTCTCGACAGCGATCAACGGCTACACAATCAAAAGCCATGACAAAGCAAATCAGAGAGCTACTTACATCAAAGGCGGCAATTGGGCAAAAATTCTCGAGAGGATTCGTATCCCCCACATTCTTAAGGAAGAAAAACAGCGGAGAACACCGACTAATACTCAACCTAAAGTCGTAAAACAACTACGTCTACACTCGGAGGTTCCACCTCCCAAACCTGTACAACATACCAATTCACCTGTTGAAGATCGATCTGTCCCAGGCGTATTACCATGTACCAATCGCTCAAGCACATCAACGATACCTAAGTTTCCAATACGACAGCCAGTTTTATCACGTGACGTGCCTGCCATTCGGACTAGCAAGCGCCCCGTCAACCTTCGCCAAAATTACCAATTGGCTAGCCCAGTACCTGAGACAGAGACACATACGTGTGATAGTCTATTTAGACGACTTTTTATTAATGAACAGAGATCAAATAGCTCTGTACCACCAAGTTTGTTATCCAATTGTTCACGAATCTAGGTTGGTGTGTGAATCTTACAAAATCAATCGTCACACCAACGAGATGTATCGAATTTTTGGGAGTCACTTGGGATACCGAGAGGAACCGAAAATGTCTACCTCAAGACAAAGTTCTGGCTTTCAATATCACATTGCGGATTTATTACACAAAGGACGCTGGAACTGGTGGGAATCAAAAAGCATCACAGGGAAACTGAACTTTGCTTCAGAGGTAGTGCCTCTGGGTCGCTTGCATTGCAGAAATATTCAGAGATCTACGAGACGTCTCAGCCTGGAACGCCGCAGAATGCATCCAATAGATCACGATTGCCGCCGAGATCTGGAGTGGTGGTTACGAAACCTACACAAACATTCACATATTCATCTAAAACCTGTTACGGTTTTTGTCACAACCGATGCAGCAGATACAGGATGGGGGGCAATTGTGAACAGTACAAAGATAAAGGGTCAATGGAACGAAAAACAAAAGCTGTGGCACAGCAACCGGAAAGAACTCTGGGCCCTCTACGAGGTTCTTCGCAGACAAGCGTCCCTCCTGAAAGAAAAATCAGTAATGCTGCAGTCGGACAACCGTACGAGGATAGCTTACATCAACAAACAGGGCGGGACCAAATCCTCAGTCCTTTTGAAGATGGCCTAAGAAATATTACACCTGGCTGCAGACCTCAGGATTTCCATTTCTGCCAGATACTTACCAGGAAAGTTCAATGGGATAGCAGACAGCCTGTCGAGACAAAACGCTTTACCAGAATGGCATTTAAGCGATGGAGCTCTGAATCGAATCATTCAAAAATTTGGTATTCCGGAGATAGACCTGTTCGCATCGAAGAACTCTGCGGTTGTACCGCGCTATGTGAGCGAGGATATCACAGATCGCAAGAGTCTATTCACCGATGCGTTCAGCAAACAATGGCACTACAGTCTCGGATGGATCTTTCCGCCTTCAGCGTTGATTCCAAGAGTCCTTCGGCACCTCAACGTTTGCAGAGGCACTTACCTGTTCGTAGCACCGGATTGGGACAATGCGTTCTGGAAACCAGCGTTGGAGAGCAGAGCGGTAGACAAACCTTTCCCTCTAAGAAACCTCAGAGAAAATCTGATAGACCTGCGAACAGGGTGTGCACCTCAGGGAGTGGACGAAATATCTTTGCAGGTATGGAAGATACAGGCTGGTTCGACTTAATATCAGAATGGCCTGCTGAAATTCAACATCTCGTTGAGAACTCCTGGCGGAAATCTAGCCTAAAAACTGACCGCCCGGCCTGGAACCGTTGGATACAATGGGCATCCAGTAACGGGATATCTACAAAAGATCCTAAGCCAACTGAAGTAGCTCGATTTCTTGGTTACCTGCATACGGACCTGAAACTTGCCCCCAGCACAGTATTAGTACACAAGTCAGCAATCTGTACTTTCATAAACCCAATCCTGAACACACTGATTGCATCACACCCAGTTGTGAACACATTTGCAAAGGCATAGCCCTAAAGAAACGAGAGCGATCGAATCGATGTACCTGGGATCTGTCTGAACTTCTTGACTGGCTCTCTCGGTACAATGTGGGGGAAAATAGCATTTTCCAAGTATCCCGCCATTTGGCAATACTATTACTCCTATCAACAGGCAGAAGAATCCACGATCTAACCCTGTTAGATATACGCAAGGACTTCTTCATCGACACGGGGTCCAGTATAAAATTTTGGCCAAAATTCGGATCTAAGACCGACTCTTTTAATTACTTGCAGTCAGGCTAGGAATTTCTGCCTAATCCAATCCGAAACTTAGACCTAGTTGCGTGGACGAGACGTCTTGTTGAAGTTTCGGAAACCCGGCGATCTAACAAAAAGTTGACAAGTCTTTTCATCACGACAAGAGGTAAAACGGCACCAGCATCCCGATCAGTTATTGCCGGTTGGATTCGTACGCTGTTCAAAGAGGCTAACATCATTGCAACACCGGGCAGCTGCCGGGCTGCAGTAGCTTCCAACAACTGGTTTGAAATGAACATGGATATAGACGAGATAATGAAAAGAGGAAATTGGAGGTCCGCGAAAACTGTACTTAATCATTATCTGAAACCGATCAATCCTCAACAAAAATTTAAATCAAGCGGAGTAAAAAGCATCTCTAATAACTTTGTTCCAATTGATTGAACCATGTTATATCTTGCAGTTGCACTACACGACATAATTAGGAGTGTAACTTGTGATTTTTCTAATTATCTATTATGTAATGTTTAATCATCAAAAAAATATATATATTTTTGTTTTGTTTCGGGAGCTTATTTTGTTTTGGAAATTTGTTTGTTAAATAGATGAGAGTGAGACAAATTACACAGAATATTTCATTTATCTTACCTAATAAAACAATAGTTGGTAAGTCACAGTACGCTTATTCAGCGCCGGCAGATAATAAACACGTCTCAAGGTGGATCAAGCCACTAGGCTCGAAAACCTAAATAGCAGCGTTTTCCCCCCGAAGGGCAGAAAACGGTTATTTAGCTTTCAGCCGTTAGGCTTGATCCACCAAAATTTTAGTGACTTGCCGGCTTTAAATTTTAGGTACTGACAAAGTAGACCGCTCGCGCTGAATGCCAAACCAGACCAAAGTGAAGTTAGCGCTGGACAGACGGCACCACTGACGATAAAATGCAGCTAACTTCACATCGAATGACGTCAGAATGCAGAGGTGTAATCTCAAGGTGGATCAAGCCTAACGGCTGAAACCTAAATAAGCGTTTTCTGCCCTTCGGGGGGAAAACGCTGCTATTTTCTAATATTTTTGTCGTTTCTTTTTCTTTAAGTATAGTTTTTAACATTCCTTTCATAAAATATGGTCAAGTTTAACGATTTCTGTAAATTGATAGAAATAGAAGTAGTAGTTAAAATAATGCAGTCTCACCTAGCCATCAAATCTGTGCATAACAAAATCGTGTTCTCTGCTTCCCTGAAGTTCTCCAATATTTTAGATCTCTTCTGTTTCATCTTGCCATGTATTGCATATACTTTCTTGTCTGGCAGAAACACCGGTAATATATCCGCCCAGTAGTCTACACAGGCACAAGTAGGAAGAAAGAATAAACCTTTTACCATTATCCTATTCCGTATGAAGTTTAGTAGAAATATGAACTTATCTTGTGCCTCTACTATAACATAATAGTTTTCTAATAAAATTGGGGTGCTTATGGTAGATTTTTCTTTTACACTGATGACTACTGGATTCCTTAAGCCGGCTCTAATGAGGTCTTGGAGTTCTTTGGTTTGTGTGGCAGAAAACAGGCCAGTGCGACGCTGCCGTGGCAGGTACTGCAGGATGGTAGTTAGGGTTGCAGTAAAGCCTAAGTCAAGTAACCTATCAGCTTCATCCAGGACCAGAATTTCCTAAAATCAATAGTTAGTCAGAATATTTCATGCAAAATAAACTTATTACGAGCTCAGTAATAGAGTTAAAATAAGTTTATTAAGCCCATTATAAACTTAAATAAAAAATGCTGATTAAAATATTGCTAAAATACATTTTCCATAAATAACTGAATTGGAATTTAGTTGTTAAAAAGAAGAAAACTCCGTTCACAGTTTAAAGCCAAATCGGCATATATTAGAAACGTAAGTTCGCGGAATAATACAGAGTAAGAACGAAAGAGATGATCACACGCAATAAGCTACACGCGTAAAAGTTCCAGCCAACCTGAGCAGGAAAGCGGATGCAATTACTCTTTATAACTTATTTACGTGTATATATTCAAAACGTCCAATAGTTCCGTCAAACCAAAGTAAGCGGAAGCTATAGTACAATCTAGGATTTCCTACGATTCCACCTAACCAAGGATACAACATAAAATATGACTTTGATATTTATAAGAAAATATAAACGATCTGATAGCGTGATTCAGAAACGTGCAACGCCATCTAGTGTGTGCGAATCTAACTAATCACATAGTTTATTCATGAGTAGTTGCTACACAATTGAATTATTGCAACCATTTTTTTGTAAATATGTTTTTATTTAAAAGTTTGGAATATAGTGCAGCTCACATTAATGCTTTCCCATAATTAAAACACAAACTCCCCATTGCAAAAATAAATAATTGTCATAATTTTAAAACATCACTGATAAAATTATATAAATTTCAAACATTAATTAAGCTCAAAGTCATCATTAAATGTATTAATGAATATTTGCGCAAAGGGGCGCATGTCTATTAGATTATAGTTTAATTTTAATCAATAACTCAAAAATTAACAACCTAAAATGTCTTCCATAGCAGCTCCACTCACACACTGCCTTTTATGGTGTCTCCATCTTTCGGGTCCCAGGTAAGATGCCCAGTTGTCTGGATATTGTGCTACCTTTGTTGTCTCGGATCAATATTACAAAGGCTTTCTTTAGCTAATCATTTTGAAATATGAGCAATGAATGTTATATTTTTTAATATTTATTCTTTTGAAGTTCGTTTTTTCAAATTAATAAGAAGTTGAGTATAAGACAGACCTGACAGACATACCAATTCTTTTAGTCTTCCTGGAAGATTTAATTGTTTCCTCTCTGCCAACAGATCCATAAGACGGCCTGGTGTACACACTGCAATGTGGGAACCTTTACTAAGACTTTCAACGTCAGATTCTACTGACCGTCCACCCACCAATAATGATATAGTAATACAAGATAATTCTGGCTCTTCAAGAAACTGTTTTATTACCTACAAGAGAAAAAAATTGACAATTTAATCAATTGAGCATGGTGTTAATTTATTTATAATATTATACAGGACCAACATTACAACATAAAACATCTCTAAAATTTTTTTGTAGTGTTTTAATATCTTGATAAATTTTCTAAAGTTCATGTGTTAAAACTGTTCAAAAGTTGATTAATGATATGCTTAATGTATGTGAAAATATAAGAAAGAAGTGTAAGTATTAAACTTAAATATTTTGTTGCCATTAGTATATTTTATTTGATAATCATACTTCTAGGAAACATTAAGGAGTCTAATATTTACATCACTGAAATAAAGGAAATAAACAGCATATCCCCCATGAACACTGCTCTTTTAACAGCGCCAAATCGGGAACTCAATTAAAACAAGATACATAGTAGTAATCCTATAAAAAACATCATTCTAAAACATATTTATGAAAATTGATAAATTCTATGATTTGTCATATGAATGACTATGTCCTGCCTGGAAACAGATTACATGCAGTTCCTTTACCCAAAACCTTTTTAAACTTGTCTATATAAAAGTTGAACTTATTATTGATAGTAAGTTTCAACTTTTATATATTACGTAAACGCAATGTGTTAAACTATTGTAAGATACATCGTAAATTTTTGTATCATTTCAAGCGTAACCTATAGTACCTTAAAAATCTGATTGGCAAGTTCTCGGGTTGGTGTTATGATAACACAATAAACAAAGTCTTTTCTTAAGGGTTCCTCTTTTTGCTTTTTCAGTAACATTTCCAACATTGGCACAACAAACGCTAGCGTTTTTCCTGAACCGGTCACCGCTTCAGCGACAACATCCTTAGAAGACAAAATTAGTGGTATTACTGCAGCCTGAATAGGCGTCATTTTGTTAAACCCTTGCTTTTTAATACAATTGAGTACTGGCTCTGACAGGGCCGGCCGAACTTCTTTCCAAAACTTATTAACCATATCAAATTAATTTAAAAATATAATTTACTACAATCACCATGCACCGGACACAAGTTCGTTCCCTTTTATCACAGACTTACCTTTTATAACATAACGTAATAATCAAAGAGTAATGTAATAATTTACTCTGACTCTGTGGACTAATGGTGTGAGAAATCGATTAACATTAATAGATTAATCGATTTTCCAAATAATCAGTTGATATCGATTATGATTTCCTAATAGACGATTAGGGTATGTTCCGATATACACTGCGAGCACTGCGCAGTGGTCTTACTGCTGAAAAATCCGTCCCGTTTGGACTGCCAGTACACTGCTACAGTACCCTAGGGAAATTTATGACATCATAAATTGCCGCCATATTTGTACTGTGAGCACTGGAGATTTCGAGGTAAGGTGCTCGCAGTGCTTTTGATCACGTGATCAGTCGAAACAGAATCAGAAAATGATAAGTTTCTAAATAAACAAAAAAAAAACTTACGTTTATTATAAGATGGATTTAATTGATAAATAATTTTTTTATACAATTTTATAATATTTTCTTTTGAAAAGAGGGAATCTTTATATTTATGTTCACCTTGCATTAACAAATTTGAAAATGGCGCCAAAAAATAGGATTAACCGTATACTGGACTGCGTTCCGTTTTAAAAAGTCACCAGTATAACTAGCTATAAAGGAACGGGCTTCCAGTATACTAAATTGACGTCATACTGTTCAGTGGTCGCAGTGTATATCGGAACATACCCTAACCATCCATTATTTCTTAAAACGTAGTAATAGGGATAGTTTAAGACGTTAGTATAGTACCTACTTACTTTACTTCGATGACTCAGCAACCCATAGTACTTATTATGGCAGCTCTGAAATATTTTTTGTCTGTTTGTTACGGCTAAACTCTGAAACGGTTAGTTCAATTTTGACGGGACTTTGACTGGCAGATAGCTTATGTAATAAGGCTACTTTCCATTTGGACGAAATCGCGGGTACACCTAGTTTAATGAGGAAGTATTAAAAAAAAACGAAAGCACCTCCACTAGATGGCGACTGTAGCAAAAGTTGATTTTTGCAGTAAACGAATGGACGAAAGACAATAATTTCCGTTTCTTTTAACTAACATATCAAAAAACTGAAATTTGAAAAGTTCGAAACTTAGATATCAATACAAATACAAAAAAGTACAAAAGAATGTAAGTTGTTTATTGAGTTTTGAAAACAAATTTACTTTTAAACTTGAAAGAAAACCGGAAAGGTTGTCATGGAGAAACCAAGAACATACCGTAGCAACATTAAGTTTCATTTCGGGAACAATTTTTTTTTAAATACTTCCTCATTCTATAATTTTGCATGCACAATAGTGATTTTTAACTATTTTCAGTAAATTAGATGGCTTTAAAATACGGTGCAATTAATCTGAAATCATTCATAAATTTATGGGGTAGAAATATTTATTTATTGGTTGACTGGTAGAGAATGCCTCTTTGGCATTAAGTCCGCCATTTGTCTATTTCACTAGGCAATGAAGAATGTTAACATTATTTTTTTATTAGCACTCCATATAGTAAACATTGTCTTAAAATTCATCAATTATCATTGTCTCTGTTAAAATTAAAAAATACTAGTAAAAGAATTACTTCGATACGTCAATTAGTTTCTTATTTAGAAGTAAAATAAGTTGTAATCGCACGACGCGGGCTGCCGGTGACGGTGTAACGTCATTGCAAAACACTCTCAGTCGCTCAGTCTGGCTCACACAGTCCGCTTGCAGTCGCGCGCCCGTGCCGTCGAATTTATACCTAAATACTTTTAAAAATGTCCAATCCAAATACTAGAAAATCATGTGTTGTGCCTGAATGTAAAAATACAACTTCTAATTGGCCGGAAAAGTTGTTTTTTATAGACATCTTTATGATGAATAGTCCTCTTTTCAACTTCTTTTTTTTTCACATATAAAATGTGAAAGAGAACACTTTATTTGAAGCGCTCTAAGTTTTAATGCTTCTTTGTCAAAAAAAATATTTTCATTCTGACCGGTTAAATGTAGTGTTATTATACCACTTGTACCAAAATCTTCAGCTTTAATCATTTTCAGAGTGGTACCAACACCTAAGAGCTTAGATTTTTTCCTATAACACTTGGTAGCAGTCGTTGAAGGCTCCTCGCTTCGACGATGTAGCCACATTAAAAATGCTACAGTATGTTTACAGCCACCTCTGCTGACGGCACAATCTTCGCAGGTTATATTTAATACTTCTTGATCCTTTTCATTGCATTGTAAACTGCAATAAGGTGTGGTATGTACGCGGTGATCTGGCGTGATTCTACATTTAACCATACATACATCACCTACTCTTTTTACTTGAACATAACCAATAGCATCATTGCCATAGCTGTCTCTTGCCGATCTGAAATAAGTTTCAAATAAAAATAAATAGCCTTAAGCATTTTGTTGGTAAAAAAATACAAATAAACAAAAAAGGTTTAATACATCTGTTCAAACATCTACATTTGCAATAAAAATTAAATTTAATAAAATGGCCTCACGTATTTTGTTAACAAAAAAATAAAAATAAAAAAAGGTTTAGTACATCTGTAACGTTCAACCCACTACATCTACATCCTAGGTACCTATCCTACTTCCTACTAATATTATAAATTGCGAAAGTTTGTGAGTGTGTGTGTACGTTTGTAATCTTTCACGTAAAAACTACTGAACAGATCTGGACGAAGTCTGGAATAACACATAGGCTACTTTTGATCCTGGGAAAATGTACAGCTCCCGAGGGAATCGTGGGTGAAGTTGCTGGCGGAAGCTAGTTTGCAATAAATCAATGTATGTATTTATTTGAATTTACTAAGAACGGTACCTATATATCCATACGTACCTTCCTATAGCTACAAAACTATAATACATATTTGTCTTTAACGTAAAAATTTAATGGTAGGTAGGTACTACTACTATTTGAGTTGCATTCTTCCATTACGACATTAATTGCGTATTTTGATTTGATAAAACAATTTAAAACAGATAAACTATTAAGCATAAGTAGTAGCAAGGTTTTACTTACCTATGCATTTTTATTCCTCGCATTTCGGCGGCAACGAAATTACTATTAAATAATGCGCAACCTTCAATCGATCTATTTTAGGTAGACTATTCGATTGCCCTTTTTCGAATCCTTCATCCATTTTATTATTCAAAAATATTTAATATTATAAGACTGTTAACTTAATACACGGGCGAAAACACAACAAAATACTACGCAAGCTATTACACCTACTATAACCGCAGGCGACTTGATACTAAGACAAAATTTCAAGCGATTTGGCATACCTAGTAACATTCTTCATTAAGATTAAATAAATATATAAATTATCATTGTCACAAATCGATTAATAATCGAATATGAGTAGTACTATAATCGATGTGTATAACAATCGAATCGGTACATCATTACTGTGGACGACTCCGACGACAACGAGTTGTTTTGACACTTGATTAATATTGACTACCTATGTCATAGAGTAAGGTAGAGTGGAAATATTTTCTATGGTTATATAAATATCATGCAATCTGAAGTTGACATCAAAAACATCATGTTGTCTTTTTTTAACTAATAAGAAGTTTCTTTAGTAAACAAAGATAACATTAGTGTGACAGTTCAAAATTTTTTACGTGACGTCATGAGATATAGCTATCGTACCACCTGTCAGCCATTTGCAAATTTGCTTTGCGTATTCTCGGAAGTAGTTCAGCTGTCAGTGTTATAAGTTTTGTGGTTATTTTCATTTATAACTTTAATTTATATAACTTTCATGGCAGAAAATTGTAAATTATTTATGCAAAACAATGCCTAGGTGCTGTATAATTGGTTGTGCGTCATCAATATCCCGCAAACCGAGCAATATTACGTTTCACCGGTAAGTTAAACACTTTCTTGGAATAACAGTATTTAAAACGTAAATTAGTTATTCTGAAAATGATTGCGTGTATAATTCGATACATATCGTATTTTGGCGTGTTCTTTTTATGCTATATTGCTCTTTTCATTTATATTTTTATAATATTTCGGTCCGTAAATAATATTGTTTACATGGCTAGTGTCGTTACTTTAACATATGGTTTATATCGATAATTTTAATATTTAAAAATATATTAATTATTTTAGATTACCAAAAGATGAAACAAAAGAGGAAAATGGCCGAGTTACATAGAAGCAGAAAATATTCAATGTAATGAAAAAGTTACTTTTATCTGCTCACTTCATTTTAGGGAAAGTTGTTTGAATCGAACTTTAAAATATAATAAAATTACGAGATGATGCATTGCTAATCAAATACTCAGGTAAGAATTTTTGACAATTGTTTTTAACTTATTAAAAAAAAAGGCTATTACACTAAGTTAATTTTCATTTGATTTTACTGATTTATTTATTTAGTTTTTTATATAGTCATTTTGTTATTCTATAAATGTACCTTATTTTTAGTCTTGCGGTCATATGACGACTATTTTAATTGAAAAAAATCAGAATGCAATATATAATAATATTAAAATATAAAATTCTGATCATAATATACTTCCAGTAAAATATACAATAAAATGAGTTAAATAATTTTAATAAAAATTAAAATATGCACACTTATCAAATTAAAGGCATATTTAAAGGTTTTCTTTGCTGTTTAATAGTATAATCTTAATACCCAAATAATTATTTTGCGGCGTGGATGTTTATTTTGCTGATACATCATAAAATACGCTACCTTTTTGAATTTAAATTGCTGACCGTTATCATGATTATTCACAGAACATGAATTGCAGACTGTTTTAGTGCTGAGAAAATATTTGTATGCTTGCCTATTGATTAATCGGCTGTTTTCTTCTTGCTAACCAAATTTTTAAATAAAATGCCAATTGTTACTTCTTTAATAATGTTACTATTATGCCAATTGTTACTTATTCATCACCAACTTTGTTTTCTTTATTTTCTCTTGTTTATTCATAAAAGTTTACAGTATTTTTATGTTCTTTTACCAATAATATAATACAAAGATTATGTAGGTGTTTCAAGTTTTCTATGTTTACTACTAAACAAGATGTTCTGAACTAAAATTGTGACACAGTACGCACGGTATCTCACTTAATGAGGAGGAAGCGAAATTTATTCAGTCAAAACAATTTATTGAATAAATTTATAGACAAGTTGGCTTACTAGTTACAAGCATATAAGAAAGTCGAAACTCTGTGCTTATAGTTCAGCAATCTATTACGGGAAACCTTGTACCGAGAAAAGAAGAAACTGTAAGAAAGGAACCGGTAAGAAACTGCAAGGGCTGCTTTTGCACCCTGTTTAATTTCGTACTGAAAAATAAAAAATGACTTCATTGGACCAAAATGTCACTTTCCACCAAAACAATAAAAAATATATAACAGACAAAAAAAAGCATAATAATTCATTCGTCAATCGACTCATTAAAAGCTTATTATAGTTACCGTGGTAGTTATCTTGGACAGTAGTCACACTTCCCGTGGATGCAAAATTAAACTTATGTTAAAAAAACTATTTAATTATAATTGCAAAATGTCAACTTGACAATATATATGGAAATAATTATAAAACACGATTGATATTATTGTAAAACTTTTAAGATATATATTTTGGTACTATAGTTCTTAAAACTATGTAAAATTGGCTATATTAGAGGAAAAAGAAACATATTTATCGAGGTACAATCATATTATAAAATTATATTATTAAATAATATAAATGTGAAAGTTCGTGAGGATGGATGTTGGTTACTCTCATGTAAAAACTACTGAACGGATTTTGATGAAATTTGGAATACGAATAATCTTTTACCCGTGGAAAGCGCCATCATACGCTGGTAACATATGTTATATTTACTATAGTGACGCAACTGAGTCGCAAGAATAAAGAACGCAAGAAATTTTAGATGTCCAACAAAATACGAGCAAAAGATTGCTTAATGATTTATAAATAATTGATAAATTCACGCCACTTTAAAAAAAATATTATTTTCTTGATACTGGCGTGAATTTTTCAATTTAATTAATAATAATCATAAATAGGATTGGTACGTAAGTGTGAAATGAATAGAAGTGTAATAGGTAATAGTTTAGCCATGCCCCTAACAATGAAAATTATATTATATTATTTAATAAGTAGTAGTATTGTAGCAGTTTCACGAAATACTAACTTTTATTTAATATGACTTCAATGTCGATACAAATATCGATATCTTGGGTCACGTCCTATGACAATCCGCCATCGAAGAATTTGCATTTGAAGTTTAGGCATATACGCTTTTTTCGTAGGTATGGCCGGTCCTCTTCTTTTATGTCTATGACCTATGTTGACTACAGACATACGTAGTAGGAGAATCTGTGGTCTCTATTTGTCTCCCTAAATCTATGCTCTCCGTCAATTCGTAAATCATAGAGTATATTACTAGTTACGTACAATATAATACTACTCTTTGGTTACGTAAATGAGGCGTTCAAAAACCACTAAAAGAAACTTATATTTGCTATGTTTTTTACTGTGCATTAACTACTACTGGGCATTAGTGTGGAATATACAGTTGCCTGTACAATATTAATTGGCTAAATATTATTGCAACCTCGATAAGAAATAAGATTATTTAATAGTTATGTATCGATTCTTCTTCTTTTTTATTTAATGGCTTATCTGCGCATTTCGCACCATTCTGCCAATGTCAAGTAAATAAATTAATTTTTACATGTAAAATGAAATGAACGAAAGATAGCGTCGAAATTTTCGTTATGTATCGATGGCTGATCTCTAATTTAATCAATATGGCGCGTGTTGACAATTTGACATGTTAAATTGACATCTGTGTTGTCTTTGTGCGAAGTTGTGATGTTTATTTTGCATCTCCTGATCGATCACTAAATAAATTGCAACAATGACAAGATCGTTTGGCAACAGTGATAAACGCTTTTCTATAGACGATGCATTTGAAGAAGAGACTGACGAAGCTATCAAAGTGTACGGGGCGACGGGCGATCGGTCCCCTTTACAAAACAAATTCAAGAATGGTGGCGATTATTTATCGAGGTAAAACTCGGTAACACGAATATAGAACTATAACATTACTCAGTAATAAGACGAATAATTTTATAAAAGCGAGTTTTATCCCCAAAAGTCGACTTTCTATCTACTATTGACATGATGTTCTTGACCTTTATGATTCACTATTTTAATAGGGCAAAGGCAGATGAACTTATTTCTGCAGGCCATTGTATGCATAGTGCGAATAAACAAACTGTTAACTGAGGCAAATAACTGTCTTGTACTTGTTTATTTTGTCAATTTAAAGTATGTTAATCTAGCACACCTTTACAAAGAATATCTTAGTTGCAAAATTAAAACTGATGTTGAGTCATAATTTCTAACATAATCAAATTATTATTCACTGCGAGATGCCTCAACACTAGTACAATGGTATATCACTTAAAAAAAAATTGTATAACTACTTTATATTCAGAGATCATGATTAATGTCAGCTCATTGAAAAGTTAATTTATTATTCATTACTTACTTTGATATTATGTTTTCCTTGTACAACAGCAAAACATACAAATGCACAGAAGACACAACATCGAGAGATTCTGATTCATTAATACATGAATATGTGGAAGCGACACAATCTATGTACTGTTGGAATCATCCAAAAGTCCGGGAGAATTGGAAAACAGTTTGCGCGGCTGTCATACTCCTTCTGGTTGGAGTAGGTCTCCTGGGCATGGGTGCATTTGCTGTTGCTGAACCTGAAAATGGATTACAGGGGGCTGTGTTTTTTGTAGCAGGTATGATCTGCTTTGTACCTGGTGCATATCATGTAGTATACATATGGCTAGCAGCTCGTGGCCAAAGGGGATATGATTTCTACCATTTACCATTATTTACTTGATCATTTGTATTTAAATACTTTTTTTAAGGCATGGAGATGTAAAATGAAGTTAAAGTATATCAAAAAGAAATAACAATGATGCTGTAGTGAAAATGTGTGCTCTCTAATTACAATATTGTAATAATCGAATATGAAATACTTACTACTTGTAAACAATTTTGAAGAGAATGCAATAGCTAAAGAAATCATTAACAAAGTAATCATGTATGAAAAATTATTTCTAATTTAAGAGTGAGATATATAAATCTTTGATCTATTTATTTACAGTTTGATTAAACTATATTATTTATGTTGAATCTGTCCATCTAGCTTTAGCAAATAACCTTTAATCTTGTAAATATTTAATAAATACAAATGAAATGAATATAAAATAGTTGAAATTTAAATGGTTACCTTATTTGAAGGTATAAGGAATCTAAAATATGAAGTATTATGATAAAGCATTGAAGTGCCTAATGTTCAAGAATATCTAATACTCTTGTACTTATTAGCATATATGCAGTGGCTGCCGCTATTTTTTGTTAGAAAAAACAATGGAAAATTCTTATTTATAAAAAAAAATTGTGGCAGTAAAGAGCAATTTTGTTTAAATATTTGTATTTCATAATAGCTTTTTCTCATGAAATAATTGATAGCTTCCCATATTTTGTCACATGTAGTATGTAAAACATCTAATAAATATTTGTAATACCTCAGTTAAATATAATATAGATTACTTATGATACATGTAAACATTCACATAAATATTTTGAATTTCAGTCATGTGAATTAAAATAATGTTATCTTATTCCATATTCATGATACAACTACAACAAAGCTGTCTTGTCAATTTACTTTTCTGGTTTTTTTTTCTATTATACAGCCAAACTATTATACAAAAAAATTAATTACTTATAAGAACCTAACTATTCTATATAACTACTCATTCATTTTGTGTTTTATTATTATTATTATACTTTAATAGTATAATCCTTTTTGGGGTTTCACTATTATAAGTATATTCATAATATTAGTTATTAAATATCTAACAAATAATAAATTATTGATAATAATAGTGTCTTAGTATGATCACATTAGCTTCTATGTTTAGTATAGGATATATAAAAATGTTCTCTTTTATTTTTGAAAGATTAATTATTCACTGATATTATTAACTTGACAATGATGTTGTAAATATACTATTATGGATATAGTTATTGGGATTCCACCTATCCTTAGTAGAAGTTGTTTTAACTATTATATTGAATTAAAATCTATTCTATGACCATCTTTCTAAAAGTTAGAAATGGAAGATTGTTAAAGCACATAGTAGATGGATAGTGATGGGTGATTTTTTCCTCAACATTAATATTTGATTACATACCCAAGATGTAAAACACCTACACATAACTTACTCTTCAGCAAATATTCCTGTATGGTGGTATCTAATATTTAAGTTTTTATGTTTTTTATAATTTGTGATATAGTGACTGATTTTTGTGTGACATATCAAATGTGTAATTTTATATCATAGAGGCATTATAGCTAGAACAGGGAAGTCCAGCTTCCAGCAGTTCTTAATATAACAAGTGGGAGAAGATGTGTTACTATATCTGTCTTTCTCTCTCTCTACCAAATCTAACCAAGGGTTGTTACCACTTATAGGCAAAGCCATATAACTTTCCAATTTCAACTATAATACCTCTATGTTTTATACAAGTTTTGGGAAGCAAATATGAATCATGTATATTCTTTAAGGCTTGATGTTCCTGCTGTTTTTTATTTTGTCTTTGCTTCAATTTGTAAATAATTAGCAATTTAATAAATTAGTAGAATTGATATTGTGGTATTTATTTCATCATTTTGAAATCACCTTATTTAATTTCAAATTCTATTAAGACCATTTAAGTTAAGTAAACTAATGAAATGTGTAATAATCAACATTTATTTATTTACTAACCATATTGCTTAAGTTAGATTTTTTATACATATTCGCCTTAACTTAAAGTGTTGCAGGAATCTCAATTCACCATTCCAGTTTCTAAGAACCTCTACTTGATTATGGTCTAGTAAATCGGGCATTTCCAAACCACATGTTTCAAATTCCTCTTGCTCTTTTTTCTTTGTTATGTTGATGACATCTTCTCTGCTAGCATGTTGACGATTTTTTCTGTGCCCAATAGAATTTTTTAAGGCAATTTGTTGTAATTCATCATCAAATCGTGTCAAATATGACTGAATAAGTTGCAAAGTCTGTTCTTTTGTTAGTACGGCGGTATCATCAGGTAATCTCTCTTTGAACCACAGAAGTTTTTCACCAATGAGGTTATTTTTTATATCGGTACCAAGTTTTTTTCGATCTCTTTTCTCACCTTTCTTTAATTTCTTAGCAAGCGATAGAGTTTTTCTGCTGTTAGGATGTTTTAATTTATCTACACTATTCTTTGTTTTAGGCATTTTAATTAATGGTTTGATTGATGTCTTGTTTGACACAATATTTAATGGAAATATTTTAATTATTTTCAAGTTTTTCCATATGCCTCTTCTATGATTAACCCAGCGTGTAGTTCAGTTTAATAGCATTGTCAAAGGTTCTTCTTCTTCTTAACTTTGTCAAAGGTTTATCTAACCATTTAATTTTAATTGTAAAAAAAAAACAAATTATTTTTATACACTAAACCTCACCACAGACCAGTAAGGATATACTACCATGAAGTAACTTATATATATAGTACTATATACTCTATGGATATCACAGATTACGGTGCCACAGAGTGGACGACAAAGATTATAAAACAGATGTGCCACACTACGTATCACTCCTTGGAGTAACAGTGTTCTGTGACGAAACCCCTTACCTCTGAATCAAAGCACCTCAGGGGCCGCGTTAGTAGGTACCTACCTGCCGTAGCTTAGCGAGTAGGGATAAAAGATATATCAAATAACCGATATCGACGCCCCAAATATCAATATCGAAAGAATAGACTTATCGATATCGTATAAGTCAACATCTCGAAACCTAATATCAAATAATCCTACGAGTAAATATATATACATATATTAGTTATCCAAATTTTAACATCCAACTGCATCTTCACATGTGATATTACATTAGTAACTTATGTAATATGACTTCGTAATTCTGATTTTTGCTTTTTAGTATTTTTTTATTGTTATGATTTGAAAATAAAGTGTTGTTCCCAATCTAATCGTAATCTTTTTAAAGTGACAATAAAACATTTTCCTATTGTGAAGGAGCATGCTTTCTGAACGCCATTCTTTAAAAGCAACACACACAGAATGAAAAGTTCGAAGGATCCTTTGTCTACACTAAACGTCACGTTTCTCGAGTTCGAAGTAGGAACAAGTTTAGTAGCCAGGTAGTAGCCGCCACTAATGGTTGGCCGATTTAAAAAAAAATGAGATTAAACGTAATTTATTTACTTAAGGTTTTTACAAAAAAGAAAAAATGTATCGATATATCGGCTTTGTGAAACTATGCCAACGGTTCGCAAAACTATGGCTTGAGACCTTGTACTAAGAACAACCGACAAGAAACTCAGCAAGGGCTGGTATTTTCCCACTGTTTTATTTCACACAGAGAAGTTTTACTGGAATGTGACTTAATTAGTCACTTTCCATTATAATATCAGTAATAACAAGACATATTTTTCTATTTGACCGCAGAGATTTTTAAAAGAGCGTGACTTCTCTAGATATTTAATATATTTCAATAAAACTGATTTCTAGAGTAGGTTGAGTAGGAAGTTTTTTGGTAAACCATGGTTTAATACGAATACTGGGCTACAATTTGAAATAATGTTGTCCTTTAATTTGAAAACTCTTGGGTAATAATTCTTTCCAAGGTAATATAATTTAATTTTTTGAACTATATTATACTGTATATTAGCAACACCTACACCTACATTTTCAGAGTCGGATGATTTAGAAGCATCTGAAAAAATAAAATTATGATTTTTCCAGTTTTTATCTACATTAAAATTAAATAAAATATTGTTCCTATATCATTTTTATCAATACCTATATTAAAACAAATATCAGGAGTATAACACAAAGATTCAAAGGTATTATTAAATATCGGCAAAATAGGAGAACGATAAATAGGAGCTTGAATAGCTAAAAGTTTTCTGTAACTAGTGATGAGACAAGTAGTAGGTTTATGTCTCCAATACTTAAGAGAGCGAGCATATTATTCAAGGGGTCTAGTTTCTCAAAGATAGGGTGGAGAGAAAGGGTGGTAAGCTTTGAATAGGAATTTATCACTAAGGAATTGTCTTCTTAGATAAAGAGGTGGTTCCGCACATTCAACTTGCATTGCATTTGTAGGCGATGATTTCATAGCACCTATAATTAATCCCAATGATTTAAACTGTATCGGATCTAATTTCTTAAAGGCAGTAACATTACCTCCTTGAAGTAAAAATGTACCATAATCAAGCAAACTTCTTACTAGAGCGTTATATATAAGTCTCAGTGCAGACGGGTGTGCACCCCACCAAACTCCAGATAAACATCTCATCATATTAAGAACTTTTTCACATTTAGTTACCACATAATCACAATGCTGATAACCCGAGAGTTTTGAATCCAATACAACACCAAGAAATTTAGTGAAGGAATTATTTTGAATTGAAATTTCATCATACACAACATGTACATCTGATGAATTACGTTTTCTAGTGAACAATACTATTGTACTTTTCTCGACTGATAATTCTAGACCGTTAATCTCAAGCCATCTTTTAAGTTGTCTCAAGGCAGAATTTAAATTATTATCAGCGATCTCAACAGAGTTATTAATGGAGTATAAAAGTAAATCATCGGCATATTGAAGAATCTGAATATTATCTAAACAATTTTCTAGATCGTAAACATAAATGTTGTATAATAATGGACTTAATACAGATCCCTGCGGGAGTTCTTTCCTTACTAACCTAGTTAGTCTTGTACCATTCAGGAGGTCTAAGTGAATGTACCTTTCTGAGAGCACACAAGAGATAAATTTGATTAGCATTACCGGAACATTCATATCTATTAATTTTTGTATGAGTTTAGTTATAATAACATTATCATATGCGGCATGAATATCTAAAAATGCTGCCAATACATAATCATTGCTAGAAAAAGCTAAATGAATATCGGGAACTATAATGCCAATACTGTCAATAGTGCTTTTGCGTTTCCTTAATCCAAACTGACTCTTTGATAATATGTTATTAAAAAAAATAGTAAGAATGAGCTGTATCACTTAAATTTACAAAAAATGAGTATGGTATCCCATCTTCACCAGGCAAACTATCTTTTACATTACTTAAGACACCAACAATACAATACTTAAGACAAGTTCAGCGAGAGAAATTGGACTATTAAGAGTTTGATTTATTGAAAGTGGAATAAAATTATTAATGTTCATGGACTCTGATTCTAAAACTGTCGGAGGCGCCAAATGATCCATATAAGAGTCAGCTAAAGAAGAATCGATAATATTATGAGAATGAGAGTTAAACGCTGATCTAAAACGTTTGATATTACGCCACAGGTCGGATGGACATGAGTTGGGAGAGAGAGAGGCACAAAAAGAGATCTTACCGTTTCTTTTCTTCTGCTTTAATAACTTTCTTGTAGTTTTAATTATGCTACAGAGTTGTTGGTAGTTGTCAAGTGAAAGCTTATACTTTTTCAGCTTATATTTTTTTTCAGCTTCTTTACGTTACTTAATAGCATTAGTGCATTCATGATCCCACCACTTAGGTCATGTGATTTTGTCAGAAACTGTACCTTTTATTGGAAAATTTACATCAGCAGCTTCTTTAAGATATTCAGCTAATGCTTTAGAACAATCTGAAATTTCAGACTGAATTATATTAGGTAGTTTTGAAATTTTTGTATCAACCGTTGTTCTGAATTTCTGCCATCCAGCGTTGCATAATCTGTATTTAAGGCGCGCATTACGTCTAAAATTGAATGTATATACCTTATCTGTCGAACTTATTACTAAAGGGAAATGGTCATTGCCACATATTGAATCAAGGGAATTCCAATTCATTTTTGAAGTTAATCCAGGAGTGCAAATAGATAGGTCATGTATTTAATAAACATAAATTATGTGAGTCTATGATTTCTAATAATTGTTGTCCAGCAGTGTCAGTTATTCCACTACCCCAACTGCAGTGATGTAAGTAGCTCGGTGGCGTAGTGGATAAGCGCCGCGGCCTCGCGGGCCGTTGTCATTAAGCAACTTTTTTTTTTTGACGTTGAAGTATACAATTCCACTGTAGGATTTTTAGATCCATTTTTGGTGATTAGGTTAGATATTATTTCAACTATAATGACAACGTTGGACGGTTTTAATGTATGTTTTGTTAACAAAGTATTAAGTAATGAAATAACTGTTTCAGTTACATTTTTATTTTCAAATTCTTCATTGGTACTTGGTTTAAATGCAGAACCATTTGATGAGGTACAAGGCATATCATAATCACTTATAATCTTATTATGTGTTAGCTGGTCATATCCTTTCGTTGAAATTATCGGTGGACGTGGTTTTAAGTAAACAGTCTTTTAATATGAGGTATTTTGTGATTTTTGATCCTGTCTCTTATAATTATTTATGTCAGATATTTGATTAGTTGCTACAACATCAGCATATGGTTTTGATATTGGTGGGTGGAGTTTGCTAGCTTCCATGTAAGAGATACTGCTTTGGGACATAGTCAATTTAATGCCTTTTGGACGTTGGAATTCCGGACAGATTTTATTCGTAGCCTAATGAAACCCTAAACACATTATACGCAGTGCACAACTTTCCTCCACTGAACAGTTTTCACTTTTATGAACCTGAGCACATTTGAAACATCTCGGAGGTGACCGACAAACAAGTTTTGTGTGTCCATATCGACAACAATTAAAGCATTGGATTATTGGGTAGGTATAGAGTTCAACTGGTAGCGCATTGTAACAAATGTATACTCTTTTAGGAAGAACTTGCCCATCGAAGGTAAATACGACAGACTGAGTTGGTTTCCAAATCACTGACCCATCAACGTGAACTTTATAATTAAGTCTCCGTAATTTTATAATTTCTCCACCACCCATTGGAATAGAGACATTGCTTTTAATTTCTTCTAGTGTCCAGTCCGCTGGTTCACTACGTACAAGTTAAGTTACAATACCAAGTTTAATAACATTAAATACGGGAATAAATGCACGAAGTTTAAAATCGATCAAATTTTTATTATTTAAAAAGTCATTGGCATCTTTAATTGTAGAAAACCATACAGTACATCTATTACGACCTATCCTTTTAACACTTGTGGCGACTGATACATAGCGACATCTAACTCATCGCACTAACATCGCCACAACAATCGATAGCGAGAAGACTAGCATCGTCACAGCCATCGATAGCAAGACGAACTGCAATAAGTTTCAACAGCAAGTAACGAGATGGCGCTGTACCAATACAAGCAGCATAAATTAATAACTACAAGACATTTAGAACAAAGAAACCTACATCGCACAGAATAAGTTTCATTACCAATTAACAT